GATATTATTAGGCAAATATGCAGCCTAACCGACATCATACCTGATGCAGAATGGATAGCTGTGTCCTCAGGCGTTTATTTGTACATTTTCCTGTATTGTCACACTCAACAGGCGATGTAGAGAAGAGAATCCTGTTGCTGTTAATGCAGAGGTCAACGCTCTCATCGGTGAAAATTCAGACGAAGCAGATGCAATAATCTATACAGACGGATCCGTTATACGCCAAAGAAGAAGCGCATGGGCATTTACAGCACGCTCAGCGGGCAGAACAGTCAAAGAAGCCAACGGCGCCTTCTCCATGACAACCAGCAGCATGACGATGGAGGTGATGGCAGTGACACAAGCGCTTGCCTGGCTTGAAACACAAAAATACACCCGCGTGTGTATACTCAGTGATTCAATGAGTATGATCCGGAGGGTTCAGGCAGGATCAGTGCGAAGACCATGGCTTGAATCATTACAGAAGTCCACTGTCCGTGGAGTCACCTTTATTTTTGTTCCGGGACACGCAGGCGTCGATGGAAATGAAAGAGCTGACAGGTTGGCTGGATCCGCTATCACTACAGACGGTCAGCCTATGGATCATGCTGATATTATCAATGCCCTCAGAGAAATGGGAAGGATAGACGACTTTGGTGGCAGTGAATCCACATCACTCGCCAGAATGGCAGACTTGGGAATTAGGATCGGCACAGCAAAAAACGAGACGCACACCAGTTACGCCAGAAGACTTGTTAATCAACATAGAACTGGTACTATTAGCCATCGGATGTTGGGGTTCATACTGAGGGGAGGATCTGAGCACCTATGGACATGTCCGGAGTGCAATGAGGATAACCCAACTAACTAACTAACTAACTAATGTAAAGATAATCCGGGCCAAAAAATAGGACTGGGAAATCCAACTGACGTCACTTTGCTGTGCCCCACCATCTCCAAATGCTTAGTTTCTAGAAACCACAGTCCTGTAGCTATTTATACTAATAATTAGAGCTGTACTGAATATTCGCTTCGGTGCCGAATATTGGACCTTTTGACTATTCGGCCCTAATGCTGACAACATGGAACGATTGGTTTTGTTGAAAGCTAATGCAGCTTTCTTGCATTAACTAAGCTGAGAGTGACAATCTCTAGGTTTAGTTACTTGTTATAATACTTAGAATTCTTTCCTTCCTTGTTATTAGTTACCACAGACTGACTAAAGGATGCAAAACATAAAATGTTTTTAAATGTTTAATATTCTGTACGAATACTAACTAGACATGGAAAGAATATAAACTTCGGCCACATCCAAGTCGATAATATCAAACAAACGGAAACGTATAAGTATTTGGGTGCAGACTTCAACTGCTCCAACATGCTGAGAAAAGAAAAAACAATCTATAATACAATCAAGAAATAAAGTATACAGTGCCCTTCAACATCTGCTAATGTCAAAGTGTCTTGTCTCGCAACACCAAGATCAAAATATATAAAACGTTGATAAGACCAGTCGTTTTATATGGCTCTGAAACTTGAAGCAGAAATTAAAGAGATGAGGCCTTATTACAGGTTTTCGAAAACAAGTCTTATGACAAATCTTTGGACCCATCAAAGATGCTAAGAAAGGGAAATGGAGAGTGAGAAGCAACAACGTAACACATAATCTGTTTAAATCACAATTGATCAGTGGCATCATGAGAGCTAACATACTAAAATGGTTGAGGCATATTAAAAGAATGTCAGACGACAGAGAAGTAAAAACTATATACACCTGAGAGATGAATGGGCGTAGACCACGAGGCAGACAAAAAAGAAGTTCGAGAGAAAATGTCCAGCCAGACCTGTCAACAACTGGTGATATTTGTATCAGTAAACCTCAAAAACTCACAATGCTAAAGAAGAAGATGACTTTTCTCTGCTACAGTTTAAATGTCTACACAGTTTTGTTTGGCTTTCTTCTTTTTATTCAAAAGAATTATACAAATTTACATGAAATTCCGTCTCAGATCAGTGATGGATTCTAGAAATATCCCAAAATGTGAGCGCATTTATTCAGTGACATCAGTCATTATGTACATTTTTTAATTTTATTGTCTAGCGTGTTACTATTATTATCATACATAACTGCTACAGTTTACATGTCTTCACAATTTCGGTTGGCTTTCTCCTATTATTCAAAAGAATTATATACATTTACAGTCACAAGACTTATGTACCACAAATCTTACTGCTACACTGGAAACCTGTTCATATCGTTTACCGACTTTTCTTAAAATTTGCTGCGCAGTTTCTATACATTTCCTCTTGAGTCAAAATAGATTGTTATCTCATGGTCAAATTTTCATTTTTCAGCGATACTTCAAGTCACATGTCATTCAGTGCGTGAGGACGAACAAGCTATTGACGATCAACGCTCACTAAATTAACGCGCTGTTCACTATTTTGTCAAAATTTGCAGTTATGCCTCCCAAACGACAAGCAATTGTCACATCTACACCTAAAACACACAAGAGAAGGGCATTAATTGCTTCAGAAACAGACGAACAACATGAGGTAAGACTGGAAACCATTCGGGTGCGCACTGCTGAAGCTAGATAGTTTCAGTCAGACGGGCAACGAGAAGCAAGACTGGAAACCAATAGAATACGCACTGCTCAAGTCCGTTTATCAGGAACAATCGAGCAACGGAAAGCAAGACTGGAAACCGTTATAATGCGCACTACTTTGTCCAGGCGAACACCGCATGTTGATTTGAATCTTGGTGCATTCCATTACAACAGCAATTATGATTAGTCTTCATCCACAGGTGCTTATTGGCAAAATGGATAAATTGTGCGTACATTGCAGTGCCTTCAAATTTAAGAATGAAACACCGGGAACGCGCTTCGCGGGTGGAAAAGTTAAATTGCCAGTATTTCATTCACCACCCGAACCAATGTCATCATTGGTAGCAGGTGACACAGCCCAGTCGAAACATTTCTTGACAAACATTCGCAAATACAATTCATGTTTCCAGATGACATTATTCGGTGCAACAAATATTGTGCGCTAGAATTACATGCCAACATTCAAAGTGCAAGGCCAGATTTATCACCGTGCTGGCTCACTACTACCACTGCCCGACGCAGATTATAAATTTCGTCAGATTCATTTCATGGGAAACACTGATCAACAAATTGATCAACGTTGTCGATTCAATAAGGGGACTCAACGAGAAATAGACTGATTCAAAGTTTTCCCTAATATCCCAGACTTATAAAAATCATCAGTGGCTCAGTGAACGTGCTATATTAGCTGCTAGCAACATGGAAGTGTGTGCCATGAATCCGAACATTCAGGACAAATTACCAGGCGGAGTGAGAACGTATGTCTATCGATTCTGTAATGATTCAAGACGAGGTTGTCAATTATCCAGCTGAGTTCTTGAATTCGCTTGATTTGCCAGGCATGTCACCCATGTTTTAACCGTGAAAATTAGCGTGCCTGTCATTTTTTTCTCAAAAACACCAATCCGCCACATCTTTGCATTGTTACCAAGCTTTCAGTAAACAAGATGGTACCCAATATCATCGTAAGTACAATTTTACATAAACATTTTTTAAGGGCCGGGATATACTATTGCAACGCAGTTTCAACAGACATGCCATTCGAATTCAGACGCTTGCAGTTTCTGGTGCGACTAGCCTTTACAATGACCATCAACAAATCACAGGGACAATTAGAACAAGTATGTGGACTACATTTGGAACATCCATGCTTTTCACATGGACAGCAACTATATGTGGCCTGTTCACGCCACGCGTCGGAAAACCACCTGATTTATTCGTGTACGCACCTGACGGAAAAACTAAGAACATTGTATACCCGAAAGCACTTCAGTAAACAATTACAATGACATTTTAAATTGCCTGTTGTTTTCCTAAGGATATGTAAACAGCACAATGATCCAAAGAGCTTAACGCATGATTTTAAAGTTTCCATTCCTAAATTTGTTCATATTTTACCAACACTACCTCTGCTATTTTCATTTTTATAACGACTTACTTGGTAATATTTACAAGTACAATAGTAAGCTTTACTTCCGTCTCTCCCCCCCCCCCCCCCCCCCCAAAATACAAACAGCTTTGGCTAAGTGTCAATGATGCCAGGAATCTGCTCTTTACAGGTTCCATTCTACCCCATGTATTTTTCCTACTAAGATAAAGTAAATGTACCTAAAAATAGCTGTTTGACACATAGCAACAGCTATTTCTAAATACGGTATAAAACATTTTATTGGAAAGGCTGTTTCAAGGCCTTTTCGTATTTCTATTTACAAAAAAAACACAAATACTTGAGGTGTCGGCAAGATACGAAACCAATGACCATACGAGTTCATTGACTATTCAATTGGTCCATATTTAGACTTCTTTTGACATTGAATTATTTTAAGAATTTGCAATGCTAGGGTTTTCCCCAATGCTGTTTGATTTTGAACCCATCTAACGTTTAAGTGAAAATACATTTTGCCATTATGGCAAAAAAAACGTCACATAAGACACGAAAAGCCTAAAGAAAGGAATTCAAGTAGGGAAACTTAAATCTACAGTTGAGATAAACAATATATATATATATATATATACATACACATAGAAGGCCAAAACATTTTGCTAGTGCAGTGTTAAATTGACATTTTCTGCATATATGATACAAAGCAAAACAAAGAACACTACATTGTTTATATTTATGTGGGTTTTTAAAGTTAAAAAGTCAAATTTCCTAATTTTATTTTTCTGCTGTTTGAATGTTTAAAATCTTTGCAAATATAAAGACTAAACCGAAACAACCATAAATTAAAACTAAAAATAATTAGGTCTCTAACAAGTGACCACTCCTTAGGTGATGTTAGACAAGCTGCAGGAACATTCAATTAGAAAAATCTTTCAGCAATGTAGCCATACAAACGCCGTATAAAAAATTAAGGAAAAAACGTGCTTCTCAGAAATATTTATTCCAGTGAATAAAGTAGTAAACAACATTTATTCTTTTTCCTTTGATGTAACTTGCTTAGTGCCTCTAAGACGCCCCGTACGGCGGGCAGCAATAAGACCAACCTGTTCAATAAAACAATGTACTGTATTAGTGGTATATCACAAACATGTGACCTGAATAACATCTTTAAATGTGGTAAATGAGCACTTGTAAGTATGCCATTGTGCTCAGATATATATAATCTCATCAAAGACTTTCAGGTCAAAGTGAAGAATTTTCAGATCATCATAGCAAACTGGCATGAGGAACGAACAACTTAGTTTAATAACTTCCTAAAAGGATAGGTGAACACTAGAGTGGCACATCACATCATAAGTGTCCAGAAATGGTGCGACGGGGTAGACTAGGACATCTGACCCACTGTGGTAGGTGTGTATGTCCATTTCCTTAGAGCATGTTTGTGGCAAGAGCACCCCTTAATTCTGTCACTGCAAAGAGCAAGGTGTTGCGTGCTGATTTGAAAATAATATTTTTAATATTGTCTAAAGGGACAGAGCGGTATTATAGTACTTTACTACTACGGGAGTTCAAGAAAATGTCCTGTTGAACAGTGTCAACATTGGCCCGAGTAGTGGGAGAGAGAATGCTAACCAGTGAGAACGTGTATTGTCACGTGAAAGTAGACGCGTAGGTACTGTGTGGGGGGCTGACAAGCATGGCTAACGAGACGCACAGAGAAAATATGAATAACATGACAGCGTGATTCTTATGTAACTTTGATTCACACAAGCATGCCTCTCGTGTACCATCAGCCACCCACATGGATTCAGCAGGGATAGATTAAGACTATTAAAACTGCGGAGAGTTCAAGTCAGTGAGCTGTAGCCAGAGAGCTAAAGCATTAGGGAAGTGCAGGTGTAATATACACCCAGCACAAGAGTGCTGCGAGTCAGAGAGAATAAGTCAAGGTAAAGGCATAAAGTTCTGAGTAAGGGTTGTGATTGTCGTACGTGTCAAAGGTATAGTCCCACTGGCGAAGTAAGACCAAGGAGACTGGATGCTCTTTTAGTGACTGTTCTGGGTTATAGTGACAGCTGTGTACCAGAGGGACTGGTGTTAGAAGTCCTGTCGGTCATTGGGAGTCCTTCGATAGGTTGATGTGCTGTGTGCACATGCTAGAGAACGAGCAAGTGGAGTCCGTCTCCAGTCAGCTGAAGTTATATTAAGTTTCAGTTGATAGGAGTATTTCTGTTCTGTACAGCAACCAGAGTTGTGGGAAGCTGCAGTGGTCAAGGAAAGGAGGCTACACGTTAAGACAGGATTATATATACTAGGTGCGAATGCATCTACATCTCTACGTATGCGGTTTTTGTTAATGTAAAGATGTGTGTATACCCTCTTGTGTTCAGGCGAATAAATATGCAGGCGGAACTACTGTTGAGTCCTGCTTAAGAGTGTGGGAGCGAAAGTTATATATATCGACACTTTGAAGTGTGCTGGTTAGCGTTTAACTCAGATAGTGCTCAACATACTTTTCAGCTCTAAGCGTGACAAAAGGATAGAAGATGTGCAAATTTAAAGTGTTCATAGTTCTAAGGTGTAATACAATAAACAATAATTCTTTTTAAACTGACCTTTCTACCAGCAGAAGCATCTCGTCTGACTGTGGATGCCTTACCAATGTGTTGGTGATTACCACCACCATGAGGATGTTCAACAGGCTGTAACAGAGATTTTATAGTCAACATAAAACAATCAATGTAAATTTTTTGTATATAGTGCCGGCCATTATATATTGATGAATGACTGCCATCAGCTAAGCCATGCAGTTTCAACACTGATCATCAGCAAGAAAAGCTTTCATCACTGGCATGTCAATCCAACATAAATCATGCCGGCTAAATTGAAAATTACCCAGTAACCGCTTGAAATCTAGCCTTAAATGAAAAAAAGTACCAATTACTAACATCTATGTCTTAAGGTTGTCTGGAGATGAGATCTGCAATTAGATGAAGATATAATTGTGCTGGGCTGCATTTGTTTACTGCATTAGCCTTCCCAGTTAGGTTTTGAGGGGCATTAAAGTCTCACTTGAGTAGTTATCGTCTCCCAGGTCACAAGTGATGCCCCACATCAAGTCATTACAGTAGGCAGCATGCAGATCTGGGAGTTAAAAACAGTACAATTTCTGACAACCTAACTATAAGTTAGGCCATGTGGTTTCAACAGTAGTTAGCATAAATAAATACGCTTTATCACTGGCAGGGCAGATACAAGTTAAAAAGTTATTAAAAACTAAGCTCCTAAGATCAAGCTTTTGCTAGTCAGCAGCACTAAAAAAATATGTGTACTTACGTTCATAGCAACACCTCTAACTTTAGGCCAGCAGTTTCTCTTGGCCTTGTACTTGTGATAGGCACGACCTGCCTTCAGGATTGGTTTGTCAATACGTCCACCACCAGCAACAATTCCTGCAGTAGCATGAAATCATAGGGTAACTTAGAATGCACAAAAAAATTATTGCAGCAACACAAAAATATATTCACCTGGTGCTTACTGTGGTTTCATCCCGTGATTGTTAAAACATGGAACACTGAATGAATTAACCATCTAGTGTTGGAAATCAAGTCCAAATCTTTCTGCTACATGTACTGTCAATCATTTCAGACATTTTAAGGATTATCAATTAAAGTAAAAGCAAGAAAATGGTCAATTATTTGAACAATTAGCAACCACCGTAAAAAAAATTTATACACTTTAACGCCATGCAACAGTAATTTTTTTAAATTAAAAGCGCTGACACAAAAGGTGGCACTTACCAATCATGGCTCGGTTGGCAGATGACACAACTTTCTTGGTGCCAGATGGAAGCTTCACTCTAGACTTCTTGGTCTCAGGGTTGTGAGAGATCACAGTTGCATAGTTGCCCGATGTACGTGCCAATTTGCCGCGGTCACCATTTTTCTCCTCCAAGCAGCATACAATGGTACCTTCAGGCATCATGCCAATAGGCAGAATGTTGCCAATCTGCAGGTTTGCTGTGTCAAGACAAGGAGTAAGCAAATGTGGTACATTATGCTCGCACTAGACACGCGACACAAAATCTCCACAATTAATACAATCATGGGGACCAGGGTCACACGTCAGCTATAATGTTCCACAGTAGTAACACCAGCAATGTTTAAACCATACATTGTCAGTTGACTTAACTGTGGTTACACTAGGACTATATAAGAAATGCTACTGCTCAATTTAAACAGGTTATACCATGTTCAAGCAAATTAACAGCATAGTACCATATTTACTTAAGTGTAGAGTTTATCCTCTACGGTGACCTAACCAGATTACCATGGCTGTATATTATGCAACTAGTCGATTAAGCGTGGTTACTTTAATTGTATCACAACTTTGAATAATTGTTGTCATGATAAAATAATAAGATATGCAATCAATGTATATTAAAGCTGTTAGCCCTCTTCTACCTTTCTTTACAGAAAAACTGTAGTGTATAAAGGTAATAGTGAGCTTTCATGCCCATGACATGTCAGACATATCCTACTTTCACAGCAGCAATGGCGACATTACTAGGAGACTGAAAAAGTTTCATTATATCTTGATTGGCTTGCGTGTCATTCAATTAATTGTTCAAATTATTTATTTAAAAAAATAGTGTAATAGTTGCAAACAAAATCCAACATGCAAAAAGCATAGTCTGCTGACTGTCTATTAACTGTTTTTGTTAGCTTCTCCATTCCTACTCCATGAGAGTACAAGTCCTCACATTGAGTTAAACTCCATACCTCTTGACATCTGCAATACTTTCCAAGTAAACTGCCTGCACAGCAAGCCATTAATAATGAATCATGTATCACAACAAAAGAAAATATGGAAACTAAAAGGAAAATACATATGCATAAATTTTTTTTAAATGACTGCCATCAGTTAAGCCATGCAGTTTCAACACTGATCATAAGTAAACAAAATGTCATCATTGGCAGATTACAGAGGCAGTTTTGTCGTCTCCTAATAGCCTTATTTGGGGGTTTTTCTCGGAAGATAGGTGGACTGCCTGAGACAGGGAGTCAATATTCTTCCTACACATAAACCAGATCTGTTAAAGTGATGATTTATCACAGGTGAATTATGACCCAAATTATTAAATAATTACCAGATGAGAAAAATCCATTTCACTAATCTGTTAATTGCTAATTTGACTTAAGAAGTCTGATCCTAAATCATGAGTACAGTGCTTACTCAGAAAGCAAATGGACACAAACCACGCTGGTGAGAATTAGCACAATGTACCCAATAAAATGCAATTGTTGCTGTATGCTTGTGCAGATTACACAACAAATTTTTATCTCTAGGAAACTAAATCAGAGCTAGATGACTGCAATTATGGAGAAATCATACATGTATGCCCAAAATACTAAGTCAGAAACCACTAAGTCATGACTACTCTCACGGGCATGCACTAGACATGCAATACAAAATTTCCACAATTAATACAATCATAGGAACCAGCATCACACATCAGCTATAATGTTCCACAGTAGTAACACCAGCAATGTTTAATGAAACCACACATTGCCAGTTGACTTAACTGTGAATAGACACATGGCTTCATTGAATGTCTCAACTATTCACTCATATACTCTATATCAATAGCTAGCAATGTTACCTTTTCTGCCGCAGTAAATAAACTGTCCAGTGTGCATGCCTTCAACTGCAAGAAAAGTCTCAGTCAGCATACGATACTTGTATGGGTCACGAAACTGAACTTTGGCAAGAGGAGCTCCACGGCCAGGATCATGGACAATGTCCTGTTTACAAAACAAATATTCAATATATTATCTGGCAAACTAGCTACAGCATGAGAATGCCATTGAAAAGATTAAATTATTGAATACAATCTTATGCATCTTCTTCGTGTTCACCAGCTGTAAACTAGTGGAAAGTTTTGGTTGTTTATCAGTAGACTTTTCTGGTTCCAAAACCTGAGATGTGTGCACATTTATTTTACAGATATGACATATCTATTTAGTAGATTGGCTCCTTTCAGGCAGATGCACCTTGTCTTTGAAGGAAGCCCTCAGCTGATTCTTACAACATGCTTGTTGGAGAGGCAGTAGGTCTATTCTTATCTTTCCCACAATAGGGCTCAGGAACTCACATATTGTATACCAAAAGGTGGGGATTTTCCAAAAAAATGTAAAATATTAGGTTTTCACTTTCAGGCGAATTGAAAAGGTTGAAAAACAGAGTCTAATGGTACCTCAATGAAGTCTGTATGTCAATTCTAAGCGGAGACATTCACATTTTAGTGCTGAAGAGTGCTCCTAAAATTATAATGGAAAATAACAGAAAGATGGTGGCATATTCCGAAGTAAACTTGGGAATTGTATTTTGCTGAACCTGTTAGCAACCATATGTCACTGGATGCAGGGCAGCAAGCTTTAAGTTGCTGCCTTTTTAAAAATATTAAGCAAACCTGATTAACATATAAAAGTTAATATTAGTTAATTGATCAGTATTCCTTATATTAGGGTGTTTAGTCCAATTTTATTTTTTGGGCCTTTTGCTTTTAAACCACGGTAGCTGTTTAGAGGTTCAATGGTACCTCAGTGAAGTCTGTATGTCAGTTCTAAGCGGAGATATTCACGTTTTAGTGACGGAAAGTGTTCCCAAAAATTTTAATAGAAAAAAAAAACAGAAACAAGATGGCGGCCTGTTCCCAAGTGAAAACTGGACCTAAAGTGACAACATTTGTATGCTTTATGTCTACACCTCTTATGTTTTTTGCTGAACCCCTTAGCAACCATATATCACTGCATTCAGTGAGCAAGCTCTAACTAAAGTTGTTGCCTTTTTAAAAATATGATGTAATGCAAATCTAATTAACAAAGAAAAATGGGTCAAATTATCAGTATTATTAATTAAATACCTTATGAATTATTATTATCCAGTTAGTCTTGCAAAACGTATACTGTAATATGCATACTTTTGTAACGATTCTCTGTGTTATGATGTATCTCTTCCTATTTGTTGAAAAATGTTTTTTCTCACACTGTCACTTTGTGTGTGTGTGCACATCTGACCGAAATTGGCTTTGCTTTATTACTCCACTGTTAAAAAACGTTTGATAGCGAGCGGATTAACGTCATTGCATCGTTACTGGTTTCATATGGCTTGGTCTTTCTTCACATAACCGTGAATGGTTAGCCACATGCCGAGAGCTTAGCACGAAGCCTGAATACCGTAGCTCCAGCAACAGCCCTCAGAGGTCCCCGCTAACCCAAAAAAATGTCACACCGCAACCTTCCAAGCGCGAGGTTAACGGCTTGACCACTTTGCTACGGAGACCCCCATATTGTTTGATAATGAAGTGAAAATATGCACCCTTCTTACTGGTTTAACATAATCCTTTTTTCAGTCTTTGCGAGTTATTCTTTCATTTCATTGATGATGAGCGCATTTCACCACAGTGTCCCCCTCTTCTTAACCACTCGCTACTTAATACTTTATTTACTTTTTCAAAATAATCTAAAGTATTCACTCATACCCGATTTGTGATTCAGCGCTGTGTTATCATGGAGTAAAATTATTAAATAAGTTCCTTTGTGATTCACTTTGGATTTATGTTGTGATTTCACGGAGCAGCGTTTCATAAGGTAAGAGTCGAAAGTACATTCTACTTTATTAGCGTATCTATGACTTATGTGATCTTCTTGCTGGCTAGTAAATATTATCTCAAAGACTGACAGATGTGATCTAAGATATGCTGCTGTCCTTTTTCCACTGTCATTGTGACTGCTCGATCAAAATCTAAAAATCAAGTTAAACAGAAACAATGTTAAATAAAAGACTAATAATATAAATATATACATATATTAAATATTATATTATAATGAAATAGTTTTTGTAATATTATTTTATTTAAATAAAAAATTAATAAAATATAAAATAGTTATGATTGTTATAATTATACGCAATATCAAGAAGTCCAGGCATGTTGCGTGAAATTCTGTATGTGAGGGTCAATAGATAAAAAAAATACCTACAAAAAAGAATTACTCATATTAAATTATAATTTATGCATTAGAAAAAGTTAAAAAGGTTGTAGATTAAAAAAAAATACAACATTAGCACGATGGCATTCAGTGAATTTCATTAATTTGTTTGATTAGTGAGTGCACTGTCTGTTCATTTGCAAAGCAAAAACCTGAAAAAATTATTTAGCCATTTTCTAGCGTGTCAGAAAATCATCAAAATAATATATTCAGCTAATTAAATTTAGTAACAGTAATAAAACTACAAAGATAAATTACTATTTTAACTTAAAATTGCATCTGAACAATATTTTGCTCCTATTATAAGCATTGTCAATATATAACAGACACGCTTTTGTATTCACGCCGTCCGCCATTTTGTTTTAACCTAACTAATTCAACTAAATTTTACAAGACTGGATGCAGAAAAAATTTAATTCTGAAACTATTTAACATATCTAACTGAAATTTTACATCTGTATGTAAAACTGGACGCAGAGTTCAATATTACAATGGAGATTATGGAAAGCCTAAAAAAAAAGATATTAAAGAATTTACTAGCCCTAATCCAAATTACAAAATACTTTTTAGTGAGTAAACGTCTTTTCTAAAAAACATGCTATTCAGCAGTCCGACCTCTGCTACAGGTATCGCGCGTGTTCGGATTCGTTTCTGAACAGCCAGTATTGAGTAACTCGGGTTTTTATAGTGACTAGTATGGAAACGCTTAAAATTCAGGGACAGGAAGTCCCTTGCGTTACCAAGCAAATCCATTTCCGGTTTAATTGTTTACATTCCATAACAACGAAATGGCTACTTATATACCTTATGAATTAATGATTATTTATCCAGTGAGTCTTAAAAGACGTATACTGTAATATGCATAATTTTGTAACTATTCTTTGTGCTATGATGCATCTCTTCCTATATGTTTAATGCTTTATCTTTACTGTCACTGTGTGTGTTTACATCTGACCGAAGTTTGTTTAATCAACTGTTAGAAAATGTTCAACAGCGAGTGAATTGACTTCAATGCATCGTTACCGGTTTCATATGGCTTGGTCTTTTTTCCATATGACCATGAAAGCTAGCAGCATGCCAAGAGCTTAGCGCGAACATGAATATTTTAGAGTTTCAGCCCCCTGAGGTCTCAGTTAACCTAAAAAAAATTTTTTTAGTCAACGCAGTTGTAAAACCAACGCACTGCAACCTTCCAAGCACGTTGTTAACGACTTGACCACTTTGCTACGGAGACCCCCACATTGTTTTGATATCCAAATGTTAATGAGCACCCTACTTGCTAATTTAACAATCTAGTTTTATTTTAATCTTTGAAACACTTAAGTTCCTCTGAGAAACCAGCAGCATCTGGCAATGTTTCTCCCTAGTAATGTAAAGCATACAAACAAATACTTACACGAATAACACCCTTAATGTAGCCATGTCTCTCAGCATAGTCAACAGCTCTAAGAGCTGCCTTGCCCTTCCTGTTCTTTGTGTGAGCTTTAAAGACAGACCCAGGTCCTTTTCTCTGAGAGCGAATAACTCGTCCCATCTTCTGTAAATTGCAATTGCACAAACTTTACACAACAAAATGTGACAAAAATAGTAACAGGATGATACAATGTGCTAGTAACTGCAAATTTAGGCTATCCTCCGAATTACGGTCCTAAATTATCGAGGCAGAAAATATACCCGCTTACAGGGCCTCGGTCACGTGTTAACTGCGCACCTGACACGTAACGGAGGCCCTGTTACAGTATATTTTCTGCCTTGATAATTTAGGACTGTTATTCGGAGGATATCCCAAATTTAGTATGCATAAGTAGGGATCAATATTCGGCTATCCTCTAAATAACTGCCCCAAAAAAAAAAAAAAAAAAAAATCGCCCTGACACAGCCTTAATCACAAGTAAATTGCAGTTCTTTCCGGCAAACATACCGCAGTATGGAATATTTCCAGGGCTGATGTCGCGAAAGGCAACAAACCGCTGAAGTTTAAACTCGCAGTTTCCCCTGCGGAGTGCGGGCAGGGGGCTAAACTAGATGGCTGGGACTCACGAGCAGTAGCTACCACATCTCGTGCTGCTTCCTCGTTTTATTTGTTTGTTATTACCAGTTATCTAGTTTAGCCCTGCTACTCTCGGCGGTGGGGTATAGTCGCTGGAAGTCCGCTTATTTACATGTGACAGACCGTTTTTGGTCACCATAATATGTGGCCGTTGTTTAGAGAGACGCGATTTTATGGCACTATTCGCAACTTCTGTGCCACAATTTTCAGATATAAAGGTGTCAATTAGCGGCAAGGCAGATTTCATTTTCTTTCATTCCTTTTTAACTTTTTGAATGTTTACAACACATGACCGAGGCCCTGTCAGGGTGTGTGTGTGTTTTTTTGCCGCCATAATATGTGGCCGTTATTTGGAGGATAGCCCAATATTCTAAGCATAATACAACCAAATGTTTTGACAAAGGTCAACTAATTATTATTATTATAATGCAAAGATTTATGTAGCAAAACTAATTCTTGGTCATCATTTCCCAATTTTTGTGATGAACTAAATTTTGTTTAGTGGAATTCAGTAGTGTGCTTTCTTCAAGTAAATCTAGTTCTCAGAGTTTTTAAAACAAATTTTTACAACTGCTCACATGGCAGAGGACTGTACACTACAAACGTCTAACAGACAAAGCATTCAATACTGACGGAAGGTTATGACTGGTTTTAGGTTTAGTGACGACAAACAGGCCTGCCACATGGAATATAAAATTGAATACAGTTCAGAAGAGACATTATATGCAATGTTTATTTCTGATATTAGCCAGACTTGTACTTCACACTTCTTAGTTTTCCTACTAAAAAAAGTGCATAAAATGCAATACCGACCACATAATTTTTTTTTTAAAGGACCAATACTGACATCATAATGACAATGTATGTTACTGTAAGCTAGTAATTATTCTACTGCAAATATTAGCAATTATTAAAGTATGACTGAGGTAACAGGAATAACAATCATAGTCTGGCATACAATTGAATACTTTACATGAAACTGCTTTATTCACAACTAATTGGAGGATGTTGAGCGATTTAAAAATTTTAGCTTCAGATGCAAAACACACCACGATCCTTACTTGAAGCCGGAAATATGAAAGGAAGAACACAGGCGGATATGCCTGACAATGAGTGACTTTTCGAAATGCCAGATTGGAATTTAGCGAGAGAGAAACGCAGACCAAAACCAAGCATATGGAATTAACATATTTAGAAACACTGACTGACAAAGATATAAACGAATAAATATTGGTAATAACTAAATGTAAAACTATGCACTTGTGTAGAAAGGCGGTTGGCTAATATTTAATTATATAGGGGAGATTCTTGTAATTTCGTTTTAAATTAAAAAGAACATTTTTGTTAAATTAAATGTTTTATATATGTATCATAGGTATGTATATATATATATATATATATATATATATATATATATATATATATATATATATATATATATATATATATATATATACGTATCCTCGGTAAATATATATATCCTTAGTAAAAGATGGCGGCCGTCTGATGTCACAAGTGATGGTTTTTTTTTCGTGTGGTTGCAACCACCGGCGTCTTTATCCTTAGTAAATATCGATTAGGCGGTTGATGAGTGCTTTTTTTCCGGGCGGGGATAGACATATGGTGTATCAATCGATGCTTTGCATATGGGTAATAATCAGTTATAAATATATATATATATATATATATATATATATATATAATATATATATATATATATATATATATATATATATATATATTATATATATATATTATATATGTTATAATATCTTAAAACAAACACAAGGTTCTTGACTCTTCTGTAAAACAAAATATTAGTATGTTAGGACCCTTTCACGCCGTTTCGCAAGGGCTAGACAAAAAGTTTTAAAGTGTTGGAAATAGAGGTGACCAGACGAGTGTGGTCAAAACGTTGAATTTTTTAAATATTCAACACCCACCGCCCCCCACCCCACGTTTTTATTTTCACCCAACGAGCTGGTCATAGCTTACGTCAAAAAGAACATACTTTATAGATGTTGACATCACATCAGACGCCTTTGCTTTCTACTATATTTCCTTGTACCACTCGTTTTCTTCGCATTCACCAGGTATAAACTCCGGAGGGACGTTATGGTTGTTCGCCCACCTCTGGGCTGTAGTTCTGTTACAGAACCTGAGTGTTACGCGCTCATTAGTTTTACAGATCTTACTAATTTGTGTGCAGACTGTCGGTTTATTGCCTATCAGGTGGTATGTTCCTACTACACTAGGCGGTTACCGACTGGGGAGAGATAATGGTGCAATGCTTCAGAATTTGCATACGACGCATACGGGGGTTTCCATGAGGGAATGGAAATGGCTGCAGTCGCTATTGACTTAGAAGTTGCGTACAACAGAGTCCCATGCAACATGCTCACCAGACTGCTATTGATATGCAGACTGCTATTGATATGCTGATAGAAACAAAATGAGTCAACTGGATTTCATTCGAAAGAGCAGTGCCGCTTTAATGTGGTGGGCATCGAAACCTAGTCCTAATGAGTCTGCCCCAGGGAGCACCATTGGTGTCAGTGCTCTTCAATGTGTACACAACACGAGTCACCAGTGCACAAAGCGTAGCCTTGGGCAGAACAATATCGTATGCACGTGATATCATTGTGTACTGTCGAGGCAGAAACATGCACAAAATTACAATGACGCTGCAACACGAACTAGACGGACTCGGTGAGTGGTGCTAGGAAACGAGAGCTTATGTGAACCCGCCAATCGCCTCCTTGAAATGGTTCTCTCTTAATACCCACATTGTCAGTACACCAACGCCAGTCGTAAGCACATGTGATATGGACATCGAAAGAACGGACACCATGAAATACCTGGGCATGACATATGACAAATGCTTGTCATATAAGTGTCGAAGACAACGTCATACTTAGAGCCAGCAAAGGTCTGACAACATTCAAGGTGCTAACAGCAGCTGATATTAAGCAACACCTACTTTCCCTTTTCTGACAAGTACTTGTGTTGAGCGTCTGGCCCTCCTCACTGTCAGCTACACCCAGCTAGAAAGACTTGGTCGAGTATAAAATGAAGCCACGAGACACACTAAGCTGAACAAGAGACACCTCTTGCAACGCCCATGCGATATGTCATGGGTTTGCCGACGATGGCTACCTCGCATAAAGTCGCACATGAAGATATCGGCAGACGATAACCGCCCACTGCACAAAGCTATACACGACACAGAAGGAATGAGCCTCAGAAGAGGACGCCCCTTGATAGCCAGAGATGAAGATTTAATCCAGCACGTATGTGACGTAGACTATATCAGTCAGGAAAAAGAATGGACGAATACACCAGTAGACATACTTGACATCTCTAAGGTTGTCATCACACTGGGAAGATGCTGCAGGGATCAGATTCCTGCGGCCGTAATGAGCGAGCAGACCAACTGGCAAGCAATGCACCAGCGCATATGGGAAGAAGCATAGACAGATCAGATATCGTCAACACTGTACGGAGTGGGCCAATGGATAATGACGAATTTCTGACACTAACACGACTGCGTGACATGGGATTAAATCGTGGGGAAGCACGTCTATGTTATCTTTAAGGCAGAGATAGGACACGTTAGTAGTGGTATAGCGTGTTAGAGGCCGCATCGGGTGGTTGCATCTTAGCAACCACTCTCTTTATCCTCAGCAAAAGATGGCGGCCGTCTGACGTCACAAGAGATGTTTTTTTCGTGTGGTTGCAACCACCGGCGTCTTTATCCTTAGTAAATATCCAATAAGCGATTGATGACGTCACGTGATTTTTTCCGGGCGGGTATAGACATATTTCGTATAAATCGATGCTTTGCATTTGGGTAATAATCAGTTGTTGTGAACGCGCTCCTTAATACGGGTGTGCCGGGTTCGAGTCCTTTGGCGGTATGAGTTTTCATTGTATTGTTGGTTATTGATTTATGTATTTTAGTTTGTTTGTTTGTTTGTTTTTGTTTTAGTGGCTGAGAACCCAAGGTTGACCCTCTTTGATCCCATAATCATGACATTTAAAAAAAAAAAGTTTTCATCAGTTTATTTGTGTGTGAAATAGCCTTTATACAATCTGTGTGTAAACTGTATTGTGCGTTTTATATTTACAAATGTCTGCGGTGTGTGTATATTGTTCAGTGTTCTTCACATGTGTTGCCGTTTGTTAACATTCGGTGTTGTAAGCGTATTTGTGACACTGTTAACATAAAAAACAAATAGGAAAAAGAAGGGACGACAGCATATCAGGCGTGCGAGGGCGGAAAGGATGGGGGCAGAGGGGGCAGAACAGACAGAGAGATCAGGGCCACTCATTGTATTTACATTTCAGAATTAAAGACATTGGACATTGCGAAATTAAAGTATTTCGCTTAAAGTAAAAACATTGCAAATATATACAAAACCGACACTTGTGTTATATTTATAAAAACATGTTGGAAAGGGGAGTTCAGGGAATCACATATTTAC